ATTTTAACAAGAAATATATTTTATTCGTAACCTATTTTTGATAATTCCAACAATTTATTAAAATATAATTTAAGTATTCAATCAAGTTACCTAAATAATTATAATACTATGCACATTGATTATTTTTGTTTTGTTTTTTTTTGTTTTGTTATATATTTTATTAAGAAATGTAGAAATGTTTTGGTAATAATATGATTTATTTAAAAAAACAGACACTTTTTATATAAATTAAAAATATTGTTTTTACTATGCCATGCAAGTAAGACATTTCATTCCTAAACAGTGCAAACCAAATTGACTTTCATACAAGTTTTTTCTTATATTCAATAACCATGCTAATATTAAATAAATTATGTTAGTTAAATCATGTAATGAAAATGTTTAAGTAAAAATTGATACGTACCTTCATAACAAACGTCTTTTACGTCTTTTACGCCAGATAAACTCTTAAAAATATGTTTTTTTACTAAATCATTAACAAAAATTTGATTGATGACATTCTGAAAATCATCAATAGCGATTCTTCCGGTGTTATCTGGATCACATTTTTTAAATTCAAAATTGAGCTTAAGACATTTTAAAACCCAATCATGTGGTACTGGGTAATATTGATTATTCATAATTTGTTTACAAATTCTTAGGTCTAATAATTCATTTTCTAGAAAATACAAATACATAATTTAATTCTTATTTTTAAAATAATTAAGCAGAGAAAACTTTTTTCTAGTTAACATAATGAACAAAAATTTTAAATACTTTAGTAAAACTAATTTTTAAACTAAAATGTTTTAGAAAATTTGGAATCATTTCAAAATTTGATTATTTAATATTATCCTAATTGATTTTAAAGAAATTTACACCTAAAATCATTTAGAAAACGTTTATAAATAATATAAATAATAACTTTTATAAGTAAAAGATATTTTTTAATTGAATTAGTGATTAAATTAATGAGAAGTTATGCGACACGTTACTGGGATCTTGGTTATGTTGAAATAAATATTTTGACATTTACATTTTAGGATTCGGAGGGTTGCGTAGTGTAGTACATATATGGTATGTATAAATTCTTTTTAGTATTAGGAGAGATTGTTTCCTTGTATTCATAGATGTGTATAGGGAGAAACTTAATAGGACATGAGTCCTGACTTTGAAACTTTTGTTGATGTTTCTGGCACATTACTGTTGAAAAAATGACAACAATTTTTAAAAAACATATTACACTTATCTATCAGGGAATGAAGTATCATGACATTCGTTAATCCGCAATACCATGTGTCTACATTTTATTTATTTTTCAAGAGAACTTAAAATGTGCCTGGTATTACTACATAATTTTATAGCATAAATGTTTTAGATTTTCAGTTTTGGAGAGAAAATAATAGTTTTGAACTAGCTGTAACCATATATTGTAAATAATAATGATATTATGTATAACAATAACGAGTGCACGTGCAGCATAACGAACTTTTAAAATATTTGAGTAAAGCGGCAATGGACCTCAAATGTGGTTTAACAAATGATAAAATAGAGTAAAATGAGAAAAGTACACTGTATGTATAACACTAGGAGTTTATTTTGCAATTATATTATCATATAAAATAAACTAGCACATTATGAAATGCTATTTTATAAGTGTTAAGTAAAATAAATAAATAATTGAACACTTTCAAGTCCCGAAAACATTTTTTAAAAAATAATATTATACAAATGTTTTTATAATACATTATTCTTATAAAAATATTTGTNTGTTCTGAGTGATCACTTATCGACCGGACGCTCTGACCGAATATCCGCCCGACTCGACGAGCTTTGAGAAACGAAACCATCAAATTTTTAGACGAACCCTTCTGACACAAACCACAACAAAATTTACTGCTTTTGATAAATATAGTAGCACATTTCTTATTTTTTATACTCCAATTGCCGCGCTCCTATACCGTTAGATTGCGACACCTGTTTATTTGAATTTTATGCCGAATCGTCAAGTCCTGGCGACGACACGACACCACCGAATCGACGTCGTGCCTAAAAGGTATCTCCCCAAAGGCGACACTCCGTCCTTTGCGAGTTGCTTTTGTCGCCATTTCTAGATCGCAGTACAAACCTTTGGTTTCTGTAGCCAGACTAGTACTAATTACCTATAATCTTATTAATTTGATATAATATCAATAATCAGTTTAGTATTGTGCATTTCGTTAACATACAAACTGTTCGTACATGGTTATTTTATTGATCATCATAGTATTTATTGTTATTATTTTTCGGTTTTTATAAAATATATATATATATAGAGAATTTTTAACTTCGATTCATCACTTGAAGAGTGTAACTTATCAAAACTAAATTTTACCCAAATGACTCGTATAATAACGAAAAAAATTGGAAGGTAAGGAGATTGAACAATAAAAGTTTATAAAATAAGAACCACCCTAATATTCAACCTTTTCATACCCTTACATTAATTGTTTTATTTACCAAGATACATGTAATTATCATTGAGTATAATAGATTTTTACTTATTATTATTATTATATTCAAATAGTTATTTAGGTTTTTACCGCACTATGATTAAAATATTTCTTATGATTATTTATTGTTATTATTTTTCGATTTTTTTTTTATATAACGTGTATAACATAATAATTATGTGAAACTAAATGATTTTAAAAATATCACAAATTTAATTCATTAATAATAAACATTTGAATAAAGAATAAACAGTCATTATTTAACGTAAAATTAAAACTTTGAATACTCAAATGATAAAAAACCTGTGAGAATCCATTTGCAGTGTCGTAAAATGTACACCCATAAAAGTAGTATTGAAAAATATTATTATTATTATTATTATTATAGTCATATGTGCATATAACTTTTACTGACGTGGGCTTAAAAGATTTCTTATATAAAATATATAAATCACATTTAAAGGATAAATTTTGCAAAGTATACAGTGATCAAAATTTTAAGAATTAATGACACATTAAATTGAAAAACGTATTTAGATTCTGATTCATTAATTAAAAATATTTTTTATTTTAGCTTTGATGTGAAGCTGAGAAGGTATTGGTTTTACTATGATGTGTTTTTTTTTGTGTCTGTTACCACTTTTTCTCAGCTCTCACCAGACCGATTTCTTTAAATGATACGTCAAAAGATCACAAATCGTATCTAGTCGAAGACATTACCCTCAAAAATTGAAAAAATTTCACTCGTTCCCCTTAAATGAGGAAATCTCCAAAAAAAATACAAATTTAAAAATCATTAATTTTCGAAATTTTTTTTATTTCTTTTTACTAATATAATTTTTTCGAAATAGAATAAATAGATATAATTTTTTTTAAAAGATGCATAATGTTTTTACCTATCATTTGGGTATTTTTTTTTATAAATTTGGCTCTAAACCTGCCTACAGGGGGGCATTTAAAATGACAACTTTTTCAAAAAAAATTAACTTTTTCGTCCCTTTAAGGAAAAAAACCCGTATTTATGAGGAACCCTTTTTATGTTATATATTATAATTAAAACATAATTTCAAAATTGAAATTTTAAATTGATTGAATGTTTGGGTTTGTAAACTCTCATAAGCGGCATTAAATTTAAGAAAATAGCAATTTTCAGATTCAAAATTACAACTTTTTCACAAAAAATTTACTTTTTCAACTTAAATTTTGAAAGTGTTTCGTAAAATCTGACACTTTTATATATATCTTAAATCAAAGCTAATGTTATGTGCTTTATTATGCAAAAAAAATATTTCGGACTTTATTTTATCTTCACCGTGAAAATAGCTACCGAATGCTATTATTGTGTAAAAATTCTCGATTTTATTTTTTACATTTTTAACTTTATAATGCTATAACTTATTGAAAAGTGTTTGGATCAACATAATTTTTTAATGAGAAATAATATTTTTTAATAATCCCTTTTTCATTCGACATACTTTATCTTAATCAGGTGTTGCTTTTATAATAATACACCAATTTTTTAAAATTAAACAATATCTAAAGATTTGCATCGAAGCGTTTTTTTTTATAGTGATTTTAATCACTGTCAGATATCATTATACTTGATCCAACTATGACACATCGCCACTGTGCCGCGATCCCCCTTGTGCTAGGTTTTTTAACTAACTAGATTACAATAACGCTGTATTGTGTTAAATGTAGAGTGTACTATATAGGCTTTCGAATAAAAAAACCAATGGTATTTCTATAATAGAACACGTTACACGAATTATGGCTTTTTTACCGTAACACCAGGAATAGCACGTGATGAGAATTAGAACTTACTTAGTCTATTCTTAAACGAATCTCGAACTAATTACGAATGGATATACGATAAATAAAAAAATAAAAATACGAAACACACCTTAAACGATACACTTATGAACTTAATCGAAACAAACGTACGACGACGAGCACGGCGATAACAAAACTTACAAATTTAAATTATATACTAATTTATCGATGCGGCTCGATGGACCAAATGTTGCGAACTCGTTCAATACATATAATAAATAAATCAAATAATAATAAATGTGAATATTAAAATCTACTATAGTAGATCATATATGATGTCCACTATGACTGTATCGTCTTTATAATAATTTTTCTTGTAAGCCGGCGACTTGTCAGCGCGCATACGTAGATCGAACATATTTTAACCTATTTTTGATAAATCTAACAAGTAATTAAAATAATTTTCGGCTGAGTGAACAATACGGTAAATTTTATATAAATTGATAAATTTGGCAAAGTATACAGTGATCAAAATTTTAAGAATGAATGACATTTTTAATTGAAAAACGTATTTGTATTCTGATTCTTTAATTAAAAATATTTTTTATTTTCTTAACCTATTTTTGATAATTCCAACAAGTGATTAAAATATAATTTAAGTATTCATTCATGTAACCTAAGTAGTTATAATTCTATGTATACAGTTGATAATTTTTGTTTTTGTTTTATTATATATTTTATTAAGAAATGTAAAAGTATTTGGTAATTATATGATTTATTTTAAAAAACAAGTACTTTTATATAAATTAAAAACTTTTTTTTCTATGCTATCGAAGTTATAAATTTCATATATAAGCCTTTCAGACCATATTGGCTTTCATACACATCTTTTCTTTTTTTCAATAACCATGCTAATATAAAATAAATTATGTTAGTTAAATCATGTTATGAAAATGTCTAAGTAAAAATTGATACGTACCTTCATAACAAACGTCTTTTACGCCAGATAAACTCTTTAATATTTTTGTTTGTACTATATCATTAACAAGAACTTTTTTGATGACATACTCGAAATCTTTAATAGCGATTCTTCCGGTTTTATTTTGATCAAATTTTTTAAATATATAAGCGAGCATATTAAATTTATTAACAAAATGACTAGGAATTGGGTAATATTGATTATTTATTATTTGTCTACAAATTCTTGCGTCTATATATTCCTCTTCTAAAAAATACAAATACATAATTTTATTCTTACTTTAAAAATAATTAAGCAGAGAAAATGTTTTTCCTGTTAACCTAATGAACAAAAACTAAAAATATTTTAGTTAAACAAATTTTTAAACTAAAATGTTTTAGAAAAGTCGGCACCATTTTAAATTGTGATTATTTTAACATTATTTTAAATAATTTTAAGGAAATTTTCTTCTAAAATCATTTAGAAAACGTTTATAAATAATAACATATATAATAATTTTATAAGTAAGAGATATTTGTAATTTAAAGTAGAGATTGAATTAATGAGAAGTTATGCAAAGCGTTACTAGGATCTTCGTATGTTGAAATAATTACTTTGACATTTACATTTTAAGGTACGGTGGATTTCGTAGTATAATAAATATATGGTATGTATAAATTCTTTTTAGTATTAGGAGAGATCGTTTCCTTGTATTCATAGGCATATTTAGAAAAAAACCTAATGGGACATGAATTCAGACTTTGAAATTTTTAATGGCATTTCTGGCATATAACTTAAAAAATATGATAACAATTTATAAAAAATATATGACACTTATCTATTAGGGATGAAGTATCATGTCATTAGTTAATCCTTCATACCAAATATCTACATTATTTTATTTTTCAAGAGAGCCTAAAAAGTNTTATTTTATTTTTCAAGAGAGCCTAAAAAGTGCCTGGTATTACTATATAATTTTATGTCATGTTTTTTTAGATTTTCAGTTTTAGAGAGAAAATAGAAAAAGTTCCAAAAAGGCAAATTAATATAATGGAAGATATGTATGATGGCACTTGTACCAGGGTAAAAAGCGTAGGAGGAGTAACAGAAGGTTTTCTAGTAATAGTAGGAGTGCACCAATGTTCTTCTTTAAGCCCTTACTTATTCTACATAGTGCCTTGGTGCATGCTGTTTACTGACCACATAGTGTTAATAGGAGAAAATTGGGAGAAAATTAATCAAAGGCTAGAGGTGTGGAGATCACCTCTTACAGAAAAGGGTTTAAAAATAAGTAGAAGTAAAACAGAGTATATAGAGTACGAGTTTGATAAAGAAAAACACAAGTTAGTTGAAATGAGGAGATCAGTGACAATAAGCGAAGACGTGATAGAGGTCGAAAGTTTTAAGTATTTAGGATCAGCTTTGCAAAAGAGCGGTGGTATTGACGAGGATTAAGTGCGGTTGGTTGAAGTGGAAAGAAGCGTCTGGTGTCTTATGCGATAAAAAAATTCCAATGAGGTTGAAAGGTAAATTCTACAAGACTGTAGTGAGACCAGCTATGATGTATGGTTCAGAGTGTTGGGCGGTTGATAAAAAAGTAGAGCAGAGAATGAGTGTACCAGAGATGAGAATGCTTAGATGGATGAGTGGAGTGACTAAAGAAGATAAGAAAAGGAACGAGCATATAAGAGGGAGTATAGGTGTAACGTCAATCGTGGATAAGATGAGAAAAAATAGACTTAGATGGTTTGATCATGTTATAAGGAAAGAAGAATTGGAAGCTGTAAGAACAGTTATAGAAATGAATGTTGAAGGAAGAAGAGGTATAGGAAGACCAAAATATAGATGGAGGGATGCTATTGAATGCGATTTAAGGACAGCTGATGTGAACGTAGAAGATGTGGGAGATAGTGTCAAGTGGAAGTTTAGGATAAAGGTTGCCAACCTCGAGTAGTTGAGATTAAGGCGAGGAAGAAGAAGTAGAAGAGAGAGAAAATAATAATTTTAAACTAGTTGTGACCGTATGTTGTTAATAATAATGATATTATGTATAACGATGGCGAAAATGGAGCTCTAATGCGTTTTAAAAAATGATCAAATAGAGTAAAATGAAATAAGTAAACAATATTATACAACTATATGTATAACACTTGTAGTTTATTTTGCTATTATATTATCTTATAAAATAAACTTGCACATTATAAAATGTTATTTTATAAGTTTTAAGTAAAATAAATAAATGATTGAACAATTTTAAGTTCCTGATAGAATTTCCATAATAATAATGATACATTACTCTTTTTTTACATTATTATAGCATCTTAGTCTTATAAAATCATTTTTATTCCATAACAAAAAAAAAATAATGATAATAAAATTAATACGTTCTAACCTTGGCATCGAAGCTAACATAAAAGACGGGAATACACGTATGTCGTAGAACTTAATACAAATATTTAAGTAAACTTCCTTACTATCGAAATATGTCAATTTGTCAATAATTTTTGGTACGTTATTGTCATCAGTTTCCAACAATTTTTTTATAAATTCTCCAATTCTAACTTTATTTGAAAAATAATTTTCGGGTAATTTCTTTAATATTTTTTCTAATTCTTCAGATACCTCAAATTTCTAATAATTAAATTATTAATTAAACATAAACTTCTAGTTAATTATATCCTGATAAAAAGGATATAATTAACGAGGAAAAGAAGATATAGAAACATGTAACAAATAAATTTTGGAATATAAAGATTCATAGTAACACACACAAATAAAGTTAAAAAATAAATAAATTACATGGAACAATTATTTAATTTTGTAGTGAACACCTATTATTATATCAAACCTAATTCGTCAATAAATACTTTAAATTTTTTATATGTAGAAAGCTGGTTAAGAAACTTTTTTTTTTTGATAAAGAGAATTTTTTTTTAATTTTGAGATTTATATATTTTATTAGATAATTGTGATCATTTGATGTATCGTTAAAAAAAGAAATGTACAAATATACATTTGTACATTTCATATGATTTAATTTAAAAATAATAATTATTAGTACTTTTTTTTTTCTTTACAGATTATCACTCTGTATAGTTTTATTTAATTATGTAATATCTACTCGAACAAAAATTTTTTGATAAAAAAAAATTACCACATATTCATCGATTGGTTCGACACTCTGATTTCCAAACGTTAACGCTATTTCATTAGCCTGATAACATATAATATTTATACTTAATTATGTTTCCATACAAGTCTTTATAATAATTTCACGTGTTTCTTCAACATTAAATATAAACAGTCAATAAAATATGTATATTCGTAAGAGTTAAAACGTTGTTTTACATAAAAATAATAACTTAAAATTTTACAGTAGGATATTTTCGAGCAGAAAATGTACCAGGTGATTCAACACAAATTTTAAACAAAAAAAGAAAAGTTAAAGAAAAAATTTCAAAATTTATTTTCAGGACTTAAAAATAAGAGGACAATAAACCATAAGTAATTTTATTTTTTAAAAAAGAGGTGAAAAATTAGTTGAGTTTTACACCAACGTTGTGTTTTCCGTTGAAGAAACAGAAATACTGAGTTAATACTAAAAAAATATTATGTTCGATCTTAAAACAAATTTTACACTGAAAAATTAATGGGTGATCACCTAAAATTATTAATTGAAAAAAATTCAAGATTTTCATTAAAGACTTTTCATGAGTAGGTTTGAAATAAATTTATGGAAAATTTGAGTTATGGTATGTAAATGATACTTTTAGTAATAAAGACAGATTATAATACGGTGGACTTATTACAATATTTAAATTAATTTTACCTATCCATTAATTTCACGTATGAAAAGAAAGTAGAGGGAGGACTGGCTTTTTTGGATTTATTAATTAGAAAAGTAGAGGTAACTAAATTTTGAAATTTATCGGAAAACACATACACATTCCGAACAATTCCAACCATAGCTGACAATTCAATATGTCAGCTTTAATAATAAACTTTACAGATAAGTTAATATTTTTATGAGTAAAATAGATTTTGATAAAGAACTGTGGATTATAAGAGAAATTGATTTAATGGATATAACGAAATCGTAATATCAAAATGATTCCAAACACAAAAATGTAATAAAGGAAGGAGAGCAACTTGCTGGTGAGTGTACTAGCTAATGGTTACCGAAATACGTATCCGAAATTTTTTAGTAATTTTTGTTACTTATTCAATATATTTTTAATTTTAAATATTAAATATTATTAGCTACAAGTGATTATTTTTTATTATATGTTAAAACGTTACTTTATCAAGTCTTTCTTCTTGTGTTAGTCTTTTAGGTTGAATTGGACTATGTGGATTTCTTAGAATTTCATCAATGAGTTCAAAACACCGATCGGTCTAGTAAACAGATAACTTTTTTAATTAAAGTTTAAAAATTGAATTACAAATAATGAATTTTTATTTTAATTACCGAACTTATCACAAAAGAAGATTTAACACATAATATCACACCAAAATAAATTACACAGTTCATTTTGCCAAATTTTTAAGAGAATATTAAATAGGTTTTGGTAATAAAATAGTGCAGTTATCTATTTATAATGAAAGTATAAATTGATTAAGAAAAACTTAAAATACAATGTAGATTTATATAAAAGCATAAAAAAATATATTTATTTTTCTTATTTGTATTAGTTACGTACATATTTAAATATAAAATATGCAATGGAAGTAATAAATCAAACTTTTAAACAAAACATTTTAAAAGCTGCAAAATTTAAACACCCAGCACAGGGGGGTCGCGGCACAGTGGTGACGTGGCATAGTTGGNATTAAAAAACCCAGCACAGGGGGGTCGCGGCACAGTGGTGACGTGGCATAGTTGGATCAAGTATAATGATATCTGACAGTGATTAAAATCACTATAAAAAAAAAACGCTTCGATACAAATCTTTAGATAGTGTTTAATTTTAAAAAATTGGTGGATTATTCCAAAAGCTTCATAAAATGCTAGTTCCTTAGTAATATCCTGATTAAGATAAAGTATGTCGAATGAAAAAGGGATTATTAAAAAATATTATTTCTCATTAAAAAATTATGTTGATCCAAACACTTTTCAATAAGTTATAGCATTATAAAGTTAAAAATGTAAAAAATAAAATCGAGAATTTTTACAAAATAATAGCATTCGGTAGCTATTTTCACCGCGAAGATAAAATAAAGTCCGAAATTTTTTTTTTTCATGATAAAGTATATTACATAAGATTTAATTTAAGATATATATAAAAGTGTCAGACCTTCCGAAACACTTTCAAAAGTTAAGTTGAAAAAATTAATTTTTTGTAAAAAAGTTGTCATTTTAAATCCCCCCCTGTGGGCAGGTAAAGGGTCAGATATAAAAAAAAAATATACCAAATGATAGGTAATGACATTATGCATCTATATAAAAAAGAATTATATTGATATGTTTATATTTGAAAAAGTTATGGCACTTTTAAGTAAAAAAAATTGAAAAAATTTCGAAAATTAGCGATTTTTAAATTTGTAATTTTTT